ATATGTCTCCATTCTCACTTCGTTGGATTAAACTAATATATGCTAGGCATTATGTCGCCGTGATTCGCAAACCCTTGTCAGGTCAAAGTGGCCTGTCATGGGTGATGTTCAATGATGAAAAAGTTGTCAAGTTCGAAGATATCGAAGCGATGAAGAAAACCGCATATCTTTACTTCTTCACACGGGTCTAGTGGTGTTCTAGGGTTGATAGGCGTTTACACCCTCGGTGCACTGATGTTGTTCTATTAAGATATTCATGATGGGGGTTGATAAATTAGATAGCTGTGCCTTGTTCATCTCTACTCTGCATGCATCTTTTAAGACGGTCTTATCGGACAGTTTTATCGAGCCCAATATCGTCTCAATTGGTGTAGGATCCATGTGTTGATGTGTCTCAAACCCTTCGTAACCACATGTTCCTGCCAGTAGTTGTACACTATGTTCCGTGTTTTCATTTTAATTATTTTATGCTTTTATCTATAGCACTAGTAAGGGGAATAGATATCCAAGCAAGACCATTATCTGAGAAGATATCCTAAAAGGACTACTAACACAGGGAACAACCATGGTGGTTCAAGGCAGCCCAATAGATGTAAGGATATTTTCAATGGTCGTAAATAGATGGGTATCTACAGGTAGATGCTGTTCAAGTAGGGAAGGAGAAGAATAGTGGGAAGGGGGAAGATGGGGAAGATTCTTATATAGACATCTCTGCGCACGACAGGAATGTCCTATGTCGTGCTCACCACCTTGGTCCTCTGCCTTTCCACTCGACTTATACCTAGATAATACATAAGAATAGTTAGCCGCTTATATGGCCTTGTTATAGTGCTTCTAGCAGTCTTTTTAGCAGTCTTTTCTTTGAGGTTAATTAAAACGTAACATCTCTGATAGGAACCCTGAGAAAATAATGCGAATATATAAATATTCCCTTTATCTTAGGTTAGAGAGGCTGAAAAAGAGATTGAGATTCCACCCAGAGCTATGGACAGACCATAACACAAGAACTCCAAACTCCTTAGGGGAGAATACCCCGAAATAATCCATGCGTATAAGATGACTAGTTCTTACACAGTAAGAGTCCATGCGACAAGATACCTCGTCCTCACTCCCCACTTCAAATGTCGATATTGAATTTGCTAATCCTTTTTCAACAGGGAGCACCTTCCCTAGGAAACAGTACGAGACAGCGTCTCATGATGGGCCTATCCAGGTAGACGCTACGTTTGGATAATCACACCTTTGCGGCCCATCGCTTCTTCAATATGGAACCCAAAGACGAGCCGGTAGAGGTCACGGAGCCAGGAGTACTGGCCGCTTTGCAGCATTGCCTGACATGCATGCGCGACATCAACGGCACCCACCCGGGCTTGCAGACCAACACTTCTGAACGTTGGGTCAAATGCCACGACCTTTCTATAATTCTTCAATAGCGACGTCTGCCACGCGGCGGAGCCAAATGCATCTGAGGGAAGTGATTTCACAAAAGACGAGAGATTCTGTTTTCCACCCCGTTGATAACCACTAATGATGGCAGCTTTGGTGATCAGGATCTTTAGTCGCGTGAGGTTCGGGTCTTCCGAGATAGTGGTCACAGTGTTGGCCGAGGATGCTGTGTGACCGGATGATCGGGACTGCTCCGAAATACTGGACGCATTAGATGACCACTTGGTATGGGGGTTATTATGCCCGTTCCCATAACCCAGTACAAGTATATTGGGAATCGGAGCATCATCAGGTGAGGCTGTTGCAGTGTCCTCGAATATGGTGGTTGGAGTCTCGGGGTTGCCGAGTTGGCTCATTGGGTCGTCACCGAAACCCAGCTCCGACTGCTGCGATGTTTGATGGAATGCCTGCGAGAAAGTGGTTTGGCTCGGCCGAGGTGTTCCCCGATCCGAGTTGCGCAAATTATGGAGGGTCCAGCCCTCGCGGAAAATATCGCAAAGCTCCCAGCAGGCTTGGACCGCAGACCCTAACAACTCTTCATCCAGTGGTTTCTCTTCCCTCTTGCTCTGGCGAATGCTGAACAGCATCTCAGCTAATGTCCAACATGCACTCAGCAGAGAATCTGTCTCCGTGATGCGGGTACGCTGCTTCATGAGACGGTGGCACAAGGTAATATAAAAATCCAAGGTTCTTTCGCGGAAGGCATCGGGAAGGTTCCGATCATGAGTGTTGTAAAGATGATTATTCAATTCAAAACTCACTCGTAAGACCGAGTCTGATAGGTCAGTGTCGCGGATACGGGCCTCAAATAGCGCCTGGCAGAAATCTCGACAGAGATCAAGGGTCGGATGGATTTGCGATGCGTAATCGTCGTCGCGTGTGTCATAAAGCTTCTGGCAAAGTCTCCAACATGACCGCCATGCATCCTCTTGCATATCATCGTTGTGAGATTTGAGGAGACGTTCTCGATGGATATAACTAAGATTGGCCAGCGTATTGCATAGTGTCCAGCATTCGTCGAGAGCAGCTCTTAGGGCATTGATTTCGGCCTCTTTGCTGGTTAGTCCTGGATTAAAATTAGTCTCGTTTCCTAGAACTTAAACGCATTTGCGTTCATGGTTATACCTTCGGGGATATCTTGAAAAAGAGTCAGCAAGGGCTATCATGGGTCAAAGCATGACTTGAAAGAGATCGGCTATAGTACCTTGTAGGCTACTCGAACGAGTGCGTCTCTCAAATTCTTCGAACTCATGTCTTGTCTGTGCACGTGGGGTCGCTCGCTCGTTACAATCATTGTCGATACTGAGTGATGTTGTCAATGGAGGCGGCGATATTGGACTATTGCCGAACTGTACGGATCAAATTCATCAGCGTCGTATGTAAACGGGCGAGGGTTATCATTAAATACCTTTCTCGGCCTTGTAGGTACGTTTATTATATCAGTGTGCTCATCTGAACTGACTGATGGCGACTGTGACTCCTCTGTGCCTTTGAAAGTGGACTGCACTGGCGCCTAGGTTGATTCGGCATTAGCCAATGCGGCAAAAGTCCTGATGAGATTCGTACAAAATCACCAAAGCCTGGGGGAGCATGTATCACCGACTGCGGAGGTTCATCGTCGTCCGATCTTGCGCTGTTTCCCACATGATTTGGGTATTCGGTTTGGATCTGTGTGGTGTGAGCCCAACAGAAATATATATCCCGCAGATTGTATATACTGTAAGCTCTGGTTGAGAAGGAACCCCAGATGCAGGTATAGGTCCAGGAGAGCTATCATCTCCATTTGTTTCATCGCAATGATCACAATCATCGCAATCTTCTTCATTGGCCGAGGCCCCTGATAAGCTGTTTATCGGCTCGGTAGCGGAGAAGTGGGGACTCTCATTCCCATCGAGTTCCCCATCAAGAGACCTGTTTATGCGTCAGCGACACTCTCAAAGAAACCAGTAACTGTCTTACATTGAAACGGATCGTGGAGAATAGTAAGCCGGACTTGCGGGGTTGACACGGTATGGTAGGACAGAGAGCGGCGACCTGACGGCCATGGCCGAATGTATATAGGATATAAGAAGACAAAGTTCAAGTGAAAGGGAAAAAGAGATTGGGGGGAGCAATACTTGAGGGAGCTGAGCCCGGTCCCTTATCGCTTACCTAGCGCATAGTACACGTGATATTTCTTCAATACATCTTCATACTTGGGTGGTGAGGATGGAAGGAGGGTATATCAGATATGGCGCTGAATGTCGAGTCCCAATTTCAGATTGGCAATGTCCTAGTATTCAAATTGAGGGTCAATTGCAGAAAGAAAGACCTTGAGAAAATTGTACAGTGAAGCAATCCATGAATTGTAAAACTATTGTTGTAATACATCTTCGCTCTCTGATTGGCTGGAACCGATTGAAGCGCTTTTGTCCTGGATTCGGTATAGTCTAATGCAGCTCCCCTCGATATGAGTGGCTGATGGAGGTCACGATGCATGCTCATCACGGCGCCTATTTGACTCGGGTAGGAATATTTAGGACTTTTGGAATTGTATGAATTTAGGAACCCTCCAGGATTCGTTTTGTCCTTCAGATTGCATAGACGCCTTTGGTTTGCAAATCCCAAGATTAATCCAAAATAATAGAAACCAACAGCGCATGCCTTATGAGTCCAGATAGATAAATCCATATTGGGTATACTGCAGATCGAGAAAGGGTCCCGAGCTGTTGAGATCGTCGGAGGCGTTCAAGCGGGGAATTTGCCCGTTTATATGAGGCTAGACTGTTGGGAACAACTCATCCAACCTATACTTCCATACTCCGCGCGGAGTATTTTGTACATACGTTGTACATCATTGTTTTCTAAGGGCAAATCGACCTGGTTATTGCTAGGTACATGGTACTGCCTGTAATGTCTGAGTATGCCAGAGAACCAATTCACTCTGTACGTCTGGCAACGAGTATACTTCTAGTCAACAGATGGCCATGATGCATGAGAGAAACCGGCCACAACAGCCCAAGGCTCCTCGAAGAGGAACAAAGAACCAAGCAGTGGCGTCGGGTAAAAACAGGGTAGTGTTGGGCTACAAATGATGCTTTCCCAGTGTTGGTGGGTAAGACTGCAAGCCGTTGAGCTGCAAAAATTCATTGAAGATAAAAATAACCAAAAAGCAAATACCCCCCTTGACGCCATATTTGTAGAGTGCAACGCCGCCCCAGATGCTAATACCGGAAGAAACCTGTGCGGAACTTCGTCCCATCCCCCGTGGAGCCTGGGTCACCCGTTGCATCTCAAACCACTTCACTCCCCCCAGAGAAATCCAAAACTGGCAGCATTTGAATGTGCAGACCAGCCAAGACCAATGACCACGTCATTAAGCTTGAGATGCTGGTGTTTCTTCTTTTGCAAACTCCGATATGCTGCCAACATTTTCTGGCCGACGGAACGTAAAAAAGTAGTCGTCCTGATCTGACCCGGTAGTAGGGGAGAATGGGGCACTTGTGTGATTGTTTCGACAGGAAAGCCTCGGCTCGAGTCGGTGACAGGTTGACTCGCGTGAGAAATTGATTGGCTTATACTTGAGCCTTGGAGCGATCTTTCTCGGCGGAATTGTAACTGTATAAAATGAGCAACAATCACTAAAATCCCAAAATGACGAGAGGCGTACCGGAGAAGTTTCTCGATCAGATCAACGTGGGTCATGATCATTCGCCGGCAGCAGTACCGTCTGCAGCCAAGCTGGTCCATAGCGTCGCTATAAAAGAGTTTATTAGCCAGGGATGGATGTGATAGACCGGAGGCTGCCATACCCATCTGGAACACCGTCGTCCAAAAGCTGCAGGTAACGTTCCCAAAGGTCACCGACAACCTACAATCGGGAGTTCAGTAGAGGATCATACATATCACGGAAAAGCAGCTGCTTACCTTGCCACAGGAGAAACAACGGACGGGGATAATCATTTCGGCGATTCAATTTGGGAGATCAGAGAATAAGAAAAGAATAAGTCAAGGTCGATTGGAGGTGAATGATGTCGCTTTGAGCCAGACTTTTTTCCCACGAAGATTCAAGGTCGATCTAACCCAATCAGGAGTACTGCGATTTTCTGCCCAAAATCCCCGCCTTATTTTTCCCGTTGGAAAAAAAAGTAGATGGATCTACCATGAATATCCCCAGACTCTCAAGTCTGTGCAACTCTGGCCAAATTTGCAAAAGCTATGATTGTCTGAGTCGCATCGACTTACATCTGAACGTTCTTTTTTTCTCGATCCTGCTTCACCCGCAAAAATGGTGGCCAATCAGTCAGCACGACAGCAAAAACGATCCCGGCTTAGCGATGCCTCCGAGAGACCTGCCCGGTCAAATGAAGAGCGATCCAAAAGGCGCAGAGTCTCTGGAGCCAACGAAAACCAAAGCCTGCACACAGTCGAACCAACCGACAGTGTAATGGAGGCTTCCAATGGTGATGTACAGACACAAGACGCTGGAACTAAGCAAAAAAGCCCCGCGCCGTGGTCTTTCTCACGCCCCGTTGGCGGTCGTTACAACAATTTAGATCCAATTCTGACCGACGATGAAGCGTGAGGACTCTTTCAGCCGACAGATAGTGAGACGTATTCTGACCTTTTCTATCACAGATATCTCCTGGTGGGACTCGACATGGCCGTTCAAGTATTCGCAACCTCAACCTCTCGCCTGTCACGTACATTGCAAATGGAGGCTGGCCAACAGATCATTGGGTTTAGCATCTGCCCCGAGGACCAGGAAAACCTTTATATCTTCACATCTTCGGGCTCTATCAGCAAATGGAATTGGAGTTCTGGAAACCGCATCGCACGCTGGGAGACCACTTGCACAACCGTTTCAATGAGCCTAGCCTCAGTGGGAAAAGAAGGAAGCACAGCTGCTGTTTCCTTCTCTATCATCTCGCAAAAGGATGGGAAAAGACAAATTTCGATCAACACACTGGGGGACAAGAAGATCCAAGGCACCACCGCCCTCGAGACCAGCCAGAAGATTAATCGCATCAAGGTCACCCATGACGGCCGAGTGATCATCGCCAGTGACGGTAAGCATCTCTTTATGGGTACTACAACCAGCGCAGAGCTTGAAGACCTTGAGACTGTTCAGTACGCCTGGCGCGAGGCGACGCTTCCTGTCAATGCCACTTGCTTTGACATCCAGATCCGAGGCTCGGAATCCATCGATCTCGCAGTAGGAGCGAGCGCGGGCTCTATCCTGGTTTACCAGAATGTCTTGGATACCCTCTTCGGCAAGGATCTCAGTGATAAGGTGTCTTCGCCTAGGAAATTGCATTGGCACCGCGGCTCTGTGAACACCGTGCGTTGGTCTAAAGACGGTATGTCCACTTGTACGCACATGTTTCCGAGAGAGAGATTGCTCACGTTCGTCAGGAAACTACATTATCTCGGGTGGTCAGGAGTCGGTCATGGTTCTCTGGCAATTGGACACTGGCCGGAAGCAATTCCTTCCCCATCTTTCCTCCCCTATCTGCAACATCGTCGTCTCCGCCAGTGGCGGCTCATATGTGGTTAAATTGGCCGACAACTCAGTCATGGTCTTGTCGACGAGAGAATTGCAACCTCTCACCACCATCACAGGATTGCAATTATGCCCAGACATGTCAGGCTCTGTGGAATCCTCAAAGGGATCTGTTGTAGCGAAATTGCACCCGCAGCAACCAGAGCGATTGATTGTGGCCGTCCCAGCTTCCCACCAGCTTCCTCAAAACCAACATGGCTCTCAGCCTGCAAATGCGGCTGTGCTTCAAACATATGATATCCGTGCTAACTCCAATATCTCCCGCCAAGCCCTTGCGCGAACCAATGCGACCACTTTGAGCGTCAGCCCTGAAGGCTCTCAAATTGTCGCGCCCGATGTTAAGCACTTGGATATAGTGCACGATGCGAAATGGTTGGCTACGGTTGATACTTGGGTTCCTCATCCTCAGGATGTGGAGGCCTTAGATCGCTCTTCTAATGCTAAATCCACTGCTACTCTCCGCCCAGAGATCTTTCTGAAGTTCTGGAAGTGGGACGCTTCCTCCGATACGTGGGAACTGGTCACGCGTGTTGACGGTCCTCATTTCTCCAAGAATCACCACTCAGCTGTACTTGGTCTAGTGTCTCGGCCCGGCGCCCACGAGTTTGCAACCCTAGGTGCCGACTCTGTTCTCCGCTTCTGGTGTCCAACTGCGAAATACCGAAGCGGGCTGAAGGCCAAAGATCAACCAGAATCACCTCTGAGCACGTGGAAATGTCGTGGTACCGTTGACCTGGCGGGATGTCTCAATTCCACCGGAGATTCTCCTCTGGATGCGGCTTGCATGAGTTTCTCCGAGGATGGCTCAGTACTGGCCGTCTGTCTGCCGTCGACATCGGCTGCAAATGACGGACTTGTTCTCCTTATCGATGCGCGAAACTGCTCTGTGCACTACCGGCGCACTGGTGTTTTCCTTGGAAACCCCTGCTCGACGAGTTTCCTGGGAAGCCATTTGATTGTTGCTTCTACTCACTCAGTCGCTGTCTGGGACACAGTCGACGATGTCGTCAAGACTATCCAGTCGTCAGAGTCTGTGGATTCGCCTGCCGGGAACTCACAGCTCATTGCCGTGAATCCCAGAACGAAGTCATTGGCAATTGTTACGAGTTCGTCCCACAAGAAACGACGCAAGGTTCGATTCCAAATCAAGATTTACGACGTCCCATCCTTCGAGGTGGTCTTCCAGGAAACATTGCAGACCTCCCCCGTTGCACTTCTCTCTGATGCTTATTCCGGTGATTACATCGTCGTTGATTCCGCGGCAACTGTGCAGCGACTTGGCTGTCTGGACAAGGCTTCCCAGAAGAGCCAGAACAGCCAGTCCCGTGACGTTACCGGCCAAATCGACAATGGATTGGCAACTCTCTTCAACCGGGGACCACAGAGGCTGCTCGCTCAATCCGACGACGTGCAGGACTTTTCTGCCCAAACCAAGGGACTGGCCAGCGTCTTTGGTGAAACTCCATCATTCTCCTTGCCTGCTATTGGGGTGCTTTTCAGGAACGTGGTCCAAACACTCGGCGCCAACTAAGCTGATGGTGGTCCATGGCGGTTTCGTATTCGGTGCACGGGTGTAGCGGCTGACAGGGATTTTCTTTTCGAACTGTGAACAGCGAACAATGTAGTATATGTATATGGTCACCTTAGGTACCCCCCAAAACTCCATTATTTATCTTTTACTACACAAGCCCTGGTAGTATCGACCATCTCGTAATGCGCCCTTGAGTCGAGAGATCCGGAGATTGAGGTATTCATAACCATTCAAGGAACAAAGAATGTCTTATTTATCTTATTCCTTACAGTAAATTCCATTTGTTATCCTAAAATGGGGGTTAATAACGCTGTTTAGCTAAATCGAACCTACGCCTTGCCACCAGGGCAGACAGTTTTCAGATCTGTCCCAAGGTAAAATCAAGCAACGCCTTCCTTCCATGGACATGGGTCAAGTATGCATCCAATTCATGATCATCGTCGATTGAGAATGGAATCTCATTCCCTTCCTCATCCCTATCAATGCCCTCCATTCGGGTGATGATTGAATAGGGATACCTAGCGCCGATCAATTGCCGGAGCTCTTCCACTGTTCGTGTGGCTAGCTTTTCGAGCCAGGGCTTTTGAGTTGTTTCTGACTGATCCTTCGAACCGACCTGGAACCAGACGGGAGTATGTAGTAGTGCGGAACTGAGCATAGGATCCACATACTCAAAGCCATTGCCTGCGTCGTGGTGTGGATTGGCTGAGAAGGATGGATCGTTCGCAGCCTGGAGTAACGAAGGGTCAATTTGCATATCGCCAATCTCAGTAGCTGTAATGGGTGCACTGGCTAGCGCCTGGGAGGCCAAAGTACTAATCCCATTGCTGATCTCATTGCCTAGCATGCTGCCCATAGAGGTTGTCGGGGTTGGGTTTCGAGACTCGGCACGTGCCGATGATCTCTTACGTGCCGGATCCCGCTTCGTCTGGTCATCTCGAAGTCTCTTCATGACATCGCGACAGAGTACTTCTAGAGCCTTTAGTTTGTTGCCGTGATCTGGGTCGGCTGGCCCAGGCGCGAGGATTTGCTGAAGCAGGTCCGAGTTTGCAATCCATTGCTCTTTAAGCTCTCTCCAGTGTTCATCGCCGGCCTCTAACTTGCTTGTGAAATGATCCACCTTCAGAGTGTCATAGAACGCATTTCGAATCTGTCGACTTTCCTCCGGGTTGATCCCTAGGGCATTCTTCGCCTCCGCTATTGTCATGCGTCTCTCCAGAGTCCGCATTCGTTTGGTGACATCGGTACAGACAACGTCGAGAGCAAGGGCCTTCGCATCGCGTTGAGTAGGATCTGTATTAAACACTTGTTGGAGGTGCGGGGATTCTTGGATCAATTTGTCTTTCGCAGCCTGCCATCTCTCAGGCCCAGCTGCGGTTTTCTTGATGAGGCCTGCTTCTTCGCAGATTCGTTGGAAATGGTCTCTGATCTGGCGGTACATAGTGTTGTCTAGGTTGAGGTACCGCTTGCTCTCATCGATGGTTGTCTCCGACGGAAAGCGTGGAGGCCCCGGAGGGTCAGCCGGCAGCCCGGCCCATCCTCGAGTTCGACGCCGACGTTTTCGCGACGCCCAACGTTCTGCACTTTCGGTTTTTAGGCGGTCCAGTCGCTCCTGGCGTTTTGCGATGACTTCTGGTGAGAGAGCGGGGGACTCGGTGGTTGGGCGTTCAGCATCTGGTTGTGTAGGGAGAGGATGTGGATCGTCAAGTGCACTTTCGACCTTGTATACCTCCTGTTGCAAGGCGAGTAGGCCCTCATCCTCCGGTGCGACAGCTTGTTCCTCGACATTCGATTGTGATTTCATTCCGTTGGGGACTCGTAGCAGCCAGCGATTCTTTGCACGCACTCGCATTAATTCCCTCTCTTTAATCTCAAAGCCTTCATCATTCAAGATGCGAAGCATATCCCGCTGGCTTGTGTTTCGTTCCCAAAGCTGTTTGACTCGGGCGACGAGCTCGATATTCTTGTGCGCTGGATTTTGTTTCGATGGAAAGCCCCATCGTTTGAACTGAGTCTGAAAGGCACGTTTGCTAGAGAAGTGACGAAAATCAATTAGTGTTCAGCAAATAAAAGCAAAGATATATACACTTACCTTGGCGCAAACTGACAGGCAGTTCGCATGTAGTCCATGATCTCCTCTAACGCCTTCTTTTCCTGAATGTACATCTGGAAGCAGATTTCCCGCTTGCCAGACCAGTCGTACACCATGATGGAGGAGACGCTCCCCTCCGTGGAGGCGCGTCTGTTGGAAGAAATAGATAGAGATGGAAGATGTGGAGCTTATCAGGCGGTTGTTGTCGCTGCTGTGCACCGTAGTCTGGGGGAATTTAGGGAAGACACGCGCAGCGCAGTTTTGGTCACGTGACTGCAGATGATATCCCATAGATATATCCCTTGACAACATTGACAACATTTGACGATTACATTTACAGAGCACAATTGAATAATGGTAGAAATTTCATTTCATAATTTGGTCTGATGCCATTCGGGGAATTATATCCCACATGTCTCGTTTCCCATGCATAAAAAAAAGTGCCCTTGGAAATGCTATGTCCCTATCTCTAGGACACTCGACCTGCGATTGCCTAGAGATGGCAAACGCATGCGTTGCAAAGACAGCAATCCAGACGCCGTGTATCCCGCTCATATTGAGCGATCCCCATAAAAAGGTGCAAAAAAAAACCTAGATCAAACACTAGGGGAACAATCAAATCGCTCGCTCATTGGTATGAACTCGGGTCAAAAAGAAAACGAGGGAAACAAAGGAAAAAAAACAAAGGAAAAAAGGACGAAAGATGCCAGAATCAATGAAGTTTCTTGATCTTTCGTCGCAGTTTGAACACTCGAGTTCGAAGCCAGGTCATAAAGAGAACCCATGTGCTTTTGGACTGGGATTTCCATGAGACCGACGGTTCCTCGCTTCTATGCCCGGTGGATCTTTGGGGCTTCTCAGGGATCTCCTCTCTAGACTGCACGGGAGACTCATGATCTTCTGACATGTGTCGCTTCAAGCGACGTCGGGAGCCCCTCTCTTCGGCTTTGATCTGTTGCTTTTCAAGCCGACGGTTTTTAGCGGCCTCTTTTTCCTCGAATGCCTGGCGGGCAGCCTGAACTGTGGCGGCGCGGGAAATAGGATCGGTGCTAGTTCGGGTTCGGGATCGGAAAACGAAGTCGAGAGATGTTCTGGACATCGGAGATGCAGTACCATCAGTCTCCCGCGAGTACCCAAAGGACGGTCGACTGGTCACATTGGTCTGTGAAATCCCGGGGAGACGGGTGAAAGAATCATCTTGTATCTGCAATGACAGCCGGGGTAGGGCCGGGCCTGAAGAAGTACGGGTTTCTTGGATAGACGCAGGTTCCGACTCGGGGCTTTCGTCCAGTTCTTCGCTATCATGGCTGGATTCCTCGTATGACTGACCCAATGGTGGAGTGTACGCTCGAGGCGTCTGTCGCATGGGATGTACGTACTGTGATCCAGGCTTGCTCGCAGTCGAGCCTGATCCATTTGAGAACTGAGATGTTCCACTGGTAGATCGATTATGAACACCGGAAGGTGTTCTCTTGAAAGTTGCACTTGTGAGGGACTCGCTGCGTGGACGCTCCCGCTCGAAGTTCATGTAAATCCCCAACCCCTCTTGTTCAGTAGACGATCGGGACAGATCGATTGAGGTCGACGGCGCATCATCCCGGGAGAGTTTCCGCAAAATGGGCTTGATATGGACCTTGGGTTTCATCGATTTACTTTTGTGAGAGCGAAAGTCGAGAGCTTCAGAGGATATATTGTGTTCAGAAGCATTCATCAAATGCTGTTCCGAGGTCCACGGTTGTTCGCCCGTGGTATCATGCATGGCCATACTTGAAGCCATAGAGCTGCGCTTTTTGAGATGGACAGGAGAATGCGAGTTATCGGCAACACCGGAAAAGGAGAATTGATCTTGGGAGTCGTTGAAATCTCGAGACGGAAAGATATGATAGGACGCAGCCCGTCCCGTTGCGATTCCTGGTCTCGCCTTTATAGGACGCTGGAGCGATCCAGACTCGCCCGCCAGTCGGTTTTTCATGACGGGAAAGGCCGACTCACGGGAGTATGAATCGTCAACGCGCGCCATGGTCGGAACCTCTTTAAGTCACAGCTTCTTTAGTAATAAACTGTGTAATGCATGATTGTCAACACCAGCTGAATGAGAACCAGAGAGTATGGAAATTCAGAATTCGAGACCAAGGATGAATGGGGGGAAGGAAGATCGAGGAAAGAGGAGATCGTAAGAGATCCCAAGTAATAGTAATCAAGAGGGGCGCATCAGCGCATCAGCACATCAGCGGGGAAACCTTGAAAGTGAAGAACTGAGATAAGCGCTTATGGCGGGAGAGATAAAGGACCTGACATTGGTTCATCAGATAGAAGAGAAAGAGAAATAGCAATAGCAAGTAAACAAGTAAAGACAAAGTAGAGTAGATATATTGAAAGTCCAAAGAAAAAGGAGACGGCGGTGAAGCCGGAGACAGACGGGATCGAGACCGCATGCGGCCTTTCTCTCCTATTTCTCCTGATCCCCTATATTCTCGATATTCTCGATATTCTCCCCCTTTCTCCTATTATTGGATCTTCCAATCCTTCTAGTCTTCTAGTCTAGTTAAATTAGTTCGTTTAATTTAATTAGTTCGTGTAGTTCGTCTATTCTCATCTTATTTTAATCTATTCTTTCTATTCCTCTATGCCCCTTATACTAATCTACACGATATGCTCTATAATATCCCCTTAAATACTTCGTGCCGAGGTACTATATATGTACCCATGTATATAACGGACCGTGACCTCCACTTTGGAAAGTCGTACCTGGATGATATAGACCGTTTTCCTCCGTATTGGTCGTGACGTCGAATTTCTTCTCGCATGATGCGAAATGCATAGCGTGGTACCAGTCTCTTATTGTTTCATCTCTTCGACTAGCAGTTGACTCCTAATACATAGCAGGAGGGCCGAAAAAAACAAAAAGATAATAGAGGCCCAAGCCGCGAATTGAACGCGGAACCTCGCGCAAGCATGCTTAGTGTGAACCCTAAGCGCGAATCATACTGAAAGATATTGTTAATGAAATGTACTACTAGTTAGTTGTGGAGCTGAAGAGCTGCTTACCCATTAGACCACCCGGGCTATTAATGGAAATTTTTGGCGAAATAATGTCTTACAAATTGAATCCGTTCAGATTCGATATTTCCGGGAAAGAGAGGACCATGCATAAATGCCAAGGGCTGCACGCCAAGCCCACCTGGCATCTTCCCCCACCAAAGGTGTTTGACATGTGTCGTACATTTGGTGGGACTATTTTTGGTCTCTTGTTTTTCTTTTCTTTTCTTGTTGGATTTTGTTCTCCTTATCCTTTCTCTTCTTTCTTGCACATAAAAGTATCCCCACATTCTACCATCCTCAACCATGGGTCTGTCTTTACAGAACCTCGGGTTGTCCCTGTTGATTCTGGTCGCTTTCTCCGGTCAGGCATATGCATTTGGCGCTGGTAACATCGCCTCTCTTTCCCGCCTCGAGGGTCAAAACTGGCGTCATGGAGATATCGAAGATGCCCTTCTAACTCTCTATATGGCGAGAGTTGCCGGTGGCAAGAAATTCGGCAAGCTGGATGTGAAGCGCGTCTACTTCGGTAACTGGTTGCGTGATTACAGCCAAGCAGTCGATGTGGGAACCGTCAAATATGTTAGCGCCGAAGCCATCCGTATCCTACTCTGGGTGCTTGGCTTCATGAGCTTTGGGTGAGTCATAAAAAGTGAATATTGAGACTGTTGACATTTCGCTGAGACCCATGAAAGATACGGAACCGGAGAGTTTGAGGTTACGACGCAACGCCTGGGATGTTATCAACCAACAGAGCATATCGATAACCCCTTGGGATACGCCACGGGCGAGGATGCGCGTGACTATGACCGTCGACTGCGTGGCCCCGTCGACGAAGAGCGAGAGCTTGCAGTGGACCCCCGCACCGGTATGAAGTCTGATCATGCGGTAGTCGATATTGGACTAACCAAACTCGAACCGCAGGCTTGAAACACTATATCGCAACTGAGGACGTGGGTATCGACACCTCGGCTGCATTGATTCGCCATGTGCTCGGCCGCTCAATCCAGATGGGTCGTCGTTATGCCCGATCCGGCAACAAGGACGACCTATACGAAGCTCTACGACTGCTGGGCACTGGATTGCACTGCCTGGAGGACTACGCTGCTCACTCTAACTACACTGAGCTCAGTCTGATTGAAATGGGAGAGACAAAGGTCTTCCCTCACGTCGGACGCTACACCAAACTGCAGGTTGACGGTGTCGATGGAGAAGTCTATCCAATCGTGACTGGTACCTTTGGCGGAGTTGATTTCTTCCATTCCGTACTGGGGGAGCTGTCCGATAAAACGATGCAGTCTGAAATTCAGTCCTTGGAGAATGTTGTCGCCCAATCGGAGACCCCTGATTCCTCTGAGAGTTTCCTGCAGACTCTGCTGAGCAAGATTCCCGATGGTCTGCTTGGTGACAGCAACGACCAGACTGGCCAGATGGATGATTTCAAGTCAAAGGCAGATGATGCCAAACATGACAGCGAGAACGTCAGTCCTCGTGAACCTGAGGAGTGGACTCTCTACCTGGATAATGTTCAGAAGCAGATCTATCCAGTCCTCGAGTGGCACGACAACCTCTTGAAACGAATCAACGAGGCCATCGAAAAGATTCCAGTCTTGCCCGAACTGATCGAGCAAATTCAGGATCAAATCACCATTTTTGTCTTCTCTGTTTTGGCTCCTTATGTTCTTCCCATTATCAAGCAGGTCAAGTCCGAGCTCGAAACCGGTTCATCTGAAGTGATCCAGAGCAGCCGGGAGCAACAGCACATTGTGTTCAACGATGATGACTGCTCAAACCCGACTCACTCAATGCTCTCAAAAGACCACTTCTCAAACATTCTGAATGAGCCCGCTGGTCGTATTGCGTCAGCTGTTGTCAAATGGTCGGTTCCTCAGCTCATGTCATGCTGGGATGATGAGGATGTCGATATCGACCGCACTCTTGACAGAATCATTTCTGGTGTTTTCCATCACCCCGCTCGTCGTGAGTATGGACGCGACGGAGCTGCCGATATACATCAAATCATGTTCTCCACGGTCGAGAAGTGGTGGAGCGAAAAGGATGATGAGGAGCGTGACAT